ATGCCCGGTCTAGATAGGGTTAAGTGGGTGTACTTTTATTCACATACTTAAAAAAGAGAAAGAATTGAAAACAAAAATAAAACAGATAAACCACATTGGCACATCAGTCAACTGTTATTAGCAGAATTGTTTTGTAGTATCATCATGTTTTCTTGCAAAATTATATTTCTGTAACGCTAAGAGGTTATTTCTTTTTTCAAGCCCTAAAGCAAAAGAAAAACAAATTACACAATTGAGCTATAACATGTACATCTAAAAGGACTTTACTTGTGCAATGAATGTTTTCATGATTGTTTGAGAATAAAGACACTCTGTTGGTACTGAAACTTGTGAAAGCATGTGCCATTTTTTTTTTTGGGGGGGGGGTCAACTAACCTGCTATCTCTCTTGTCTAGACAAGTGGTCACTTGTCTATAGTGGTCAAATTTGGCCAGTCCCTTGTGTGACCACTATAGACAGGTTCGACTGTAGTTACGTATAGCGTTCTGTATATGATGGCTACTAACCATCATTCACTGTGTTTTGTAGGTCATCAACGTAACTTCATACAATGCACACAGACAGTGGATTCAGAACGACACCATCAACTTTGAATGGGTCACCGATGCAAACCACACTACTGTCGAAATCATCAACCCTAAACCATTTTATAGGATAGGGGATATCCTCCACATTGGAATTATAGCGAGCGATGGAAAAGGCAGGCGGAAGCAACATGGAGGTGACTACTTTGAAGCAGTGTTAAAGAACAGTGAAATCTACGGTAGCACAGCAGGTAGAATCCAGGACCACGGAAACGGAGCGTACACTGTCACATTTGTGCTAGGTTTCGCCGGGACTGTTACACCCAACGTACACCTCGTCCATGTCAGTGAAGCGGTTCAACTTTTGAAAGAGTTTAGAAAAGTTCCTAACAAAAGGAAGTGGCTATGCGGGTTCGAAACTGAAGGGAAAGAATTGAAAAAAGGATGCACGTACTTTGCTAACCAATCCATGTCTTTGGCCGACCAATGTGACTTTTCAGCACCAAACACAAGTCGAATGTGGTTCTGTGAAAAGCCTAAAGATATTCCATGTGAAGCAATAACTAAATGCCAAGGAACTCCATACATTGAAGCAGTCGATAGGATGGTGTCTGCTGAACAACGAAAGCTTTTTAGAAGGTAATGTAACTCACTACACGAAATATCAAGTAGCATTTCTAGAAAAAAAGTTACACTTTATTAGTCCATTTGTTTTGCCAGAGCAACCAATTTGAAACGAAAATTCACAAGAAATACAATCTTTTCAAAGAGAGCAAAAAAACAGAGTTCCACGATCTCATACCTTCGCCAAATGATGTTAACCCTTTCGGTTGATGAATTATACAAGTTTAATGATAAATTTCGCCAAAGATTTCGCAAATAAAAGCCTCATTTGCATGAATTTTAGTCGATCATATTCTTCACCCAATGACAGTCTTACCATAACAAAAAAAGTTACTGTAGCACGTCCTCATAAATTATGCAAATGAGTTAAAAATTTGAATGAATAAAGTTTATTGATGTTCACTTTCACTTCCAAATGCAGTAAGTATGAAATTCCCAGGAGTTACAACCATGAAATTATAACAGTTTGCTTTTAATTATGCAAATTAGGTCTTCATTTTCATTATCTATATCTTCAGATAATTTGTATGTTCTTAATTACATGTCACAGGTGTTTCATAGTCCTAGTTATCAAATGAAGCGGATTTATAGAATTTCCTCATTATTATGCAAACTACCTCCTAATTTGCATAATAATCATTTAATCATGTGATCATCACTTCAGTTACCTACATACCAAAAATCATGACAATCCGTCAACCGGTTCTTGAGTTATCCTCCTTCGGAGATTTTTCAGGAACACTCCTGTAGTTCAATAACAAGCCGCTAGGCGGACTAAAAACCCATGTAACTTCTTCCTTGGCCCAAGAGTTATCTACCATCTAAAATTCTTCACAGTGGCATGTCCAATTCATCAGATATCAAAATTTAATTTCTTGGTCTCATTTAGACCTACCAACATATTTAATTTTTATGACATAGCATACAAAGCTTCTTGAGTTATGCGGTTCACAAACAGAGAAACAGACAAACAAACAGACAGACGTACAGACGCTACTAAAACATAACCTTCTTGGCGATGGTAACAAAGCTATTTTTTGGATGAGTTGTATAGTAACTCTGCCTGTGTATAAATGTACCTGTGTATCATCCTCTTTCTTAAAGGCAAAACTTCATAAGATCTTGATTTATTGTGGTTAGTGGAAGGACGACCCTGATAGATATGGATACGTCTTCTCCTACTGAATGCCCAAACTGTCTACACCACGAAGACGGCCTCATTACCCAGTAAGGGTACCTAATGGCCTGGATTCAGGTGGATATTCAGGTGAATATGTAACACTATCTGGACTAGGCCATACGATATAGCGTTGACGAGTTCAGAGGGATGGTGAATACCCCGCCGTGCCACGAATCCCATAAAAACCAAATTTAGATAAGATTCAGTGACACTTGGCATGATTACATGATAATCATGATCTAATTTGCATTATTAGTAAGGTAGATCTATAAGCCTGGAACACTGTGACATTTGTAGTTAAGAAAAAAGTAGCATTACCATACAAAGATTATTAAAACAAAAAATGGATTGCAAGTAATAAAACAAATATTATGATTTTAATAGTAGTTTATGATAATACTTTCATAGTTGCAACATTCGGACGTTTATTGAATTATATATTTAAAGGAAGACCGCATTTATATAAGGAAATTTCAAAATAGTGTTCTTTGTTAAGATAAGCATGTCTTCTGGTGTAGAGTATGATCGACTGATACAATGTATGTATCTGTTTTTAAAATACTGACTAAACATTTATAATTCGTCAGCCATCAGATTAATATTATTTGGCGAAGGTATGAGGTTGTTGAACAATAGTTTTAGTTGACATCATCTCTTTACGGTCTCTAATTCAGAAAAAAAACTCTTATGTTACTTGTGTTTTTCTGTCAAAATGTATACATTAGCTAATAGACCTCATTCCAGATACAGTCGCCATATGGATTCTATTCTCGCGAGAGCACATCCTTGGCGTGAGCGCGCGTGACCTCGCACGAAAGCGAGGCTTCCGTGTGGTCGCGGATTCCCTGTAGTACGTTCTAACACAGTCGATAGCGGTGCTCCAACTTCAACGGTGAGTTTTGCCCGTCCAGTGTAAAATATTGTCGGAAGTACGGCTTTCACGGGTAGAGGATGTTGTTGTGGGCATGTGGGATCGATTTCGGCGGGTAGAAATGCATGTTTCTTCCGATTTTGAACAGTTTCGGACGGGCGGCATTGTAGCGTATGTGATGCACTTTGTTTACATTCTACGTACGCAGCTAACTTCGAAAAATATCGAGTTTAGCCGGATATATAGCCACAAAAACCTAAAAATGTTGGCCCTGGAGTCTTGTGGGTTGAAAGTTATGGAGTGTTCGGCGATTTCTCCGTAGATTTATCGATTATAGCGTCTAATGTCCGGCCGTACATAGAGTGAAACTTTCGTAACTTGGGGAGGGGGGCGGTTGTTATTCTAACGTCCCCCGTTTAATATTATTATTTGTCGATGGAACTTAACTAAAATAGAACGGTACAAAAACATAATTTACCTTGGTGAGATCCTGTTGGGTAGAAATGGGTCTCTTGAACGAAATTTTGGCGGTCGCCCTGAAGATTCATCGATTACAACGTCAAAGTGTTTTTAGTCACTTACGCAGTGTGGGAGAGGCGGGGCATGTGTTTTTCTAAACGTCCTACGTTTTTGGAGACGGGGATTTTCCAATGTTTATAATATCATAAGAACAGCATAAACTGTGTCTGGATGAGATCCTGGCTTCGGGTGGTTCATGTTCTCATTTCTTTATTTATATTATATGTCTTTGTCTAAAATTTTAACATTTTTTAAAACTCTTTTCAGACAAACACTACCTGCCCGAAGAGGGAAAAGAAATTCAAGTCTGCAAAGCACAGCACAGGACCATAGAAACAGTGCCGCTAGGACATCTACCTATCACATGGTCTTTGCCCCACTCATGTTGTCAAAGATGTATTATTTGGATGTTGCCAAAAGGTTTTAGTATGATCCTATTGTTGATTGTTTTTATCAGGCACAAATACTGTTGTATTGTAAATACAATGTAGTGTTTATTGAGTACAAAAGGAAAGAGATACTACTAGTACATGTACTAGGAAACAGATGTGTGTTAACAGTATGTACATGTATCAGAAACTGAAAACAGTTCAGTAACACTCTTTAATTCATTCCTAATAAACCATGTATAGTTTAAGTTGGTTTTCCACCATTTGCTTCTCATTGAAACATGTAGCCATGATTCATTTTTTCACTGGATCATGTATGAGTAGATTATATACAGAGAGAGTACCCAATATTCCAAAAATACATGTAAGTTAGGAACACTTCCTTGAAGTTGCTTCTCATATTTTTTTAATTGTAAAAAACATGTACATGTTCTTGTAACCTTCAGAAACATGTAAATACAATGCCACTTCAATGAACATGACAGTTTCAGTAGTTCTGTACAAGTGGTGGTAAAAAGTTTGTCAGGTAAGCATGGTGAAGACGTGGTCTGTGATGGCAGTGCAGTCGGTGATGGGGATGTTGCCAGATCAGGTTGAAGTATAGCCATGTTGGTGTCGAGACCCGGATCCGAACAACAAGTGGAGGAGTCCTCAGGTTCATCAATCTGTAAAGTCAATCAAAAATGCAATGACAATGTTTGAGTGCAACAATATGAAGTGTTCTTTAAAAGAAGTAAAATACCATGTGAAGCAATCCAAGTATGTTTTTATTAGCATCCGAAAAGAAAATTATGCGGACATTACTGACACAAAACTTTATGGAATAAAATTCAAACTATGTACATTGTAGTTGACATGCAACATTTACCTTGTTAAGTCCACACACTCCTTTCTTTTTCTTGGTGGGAGAACATCTCTTCTTTGGAGCTGGTCTCTTTGGTTTCTGATTCACCCGGGAGTGAAGGTAGGGTGCTGCATCTGAAATCATACAATATGGAAATTTTCATTAACAGTTATATTTTTTAGCAATGCCAGATTAATAATAAGAATATTATTTGTAAGAAAAGTTTAAAATTTTAGACAAAGACATATAATATAAATAAAGAAATGAGAACATGAACCACCCGAAGCCAGGATCTCATCCAGACACTGTTTATGCTGTTCTTATCATATTGTAAACATTGGAAAATCCCCGTCTCCAAAACGTAGGACGTTTAGAAAAACACATGCCCCGCCTCTCCCACACTGCGTGAGTGACTAAAAACCTGGCTGGGCGCTTTGACGTTATAATCGATGACTCTTCAGGGCGACCGCCAAAATTTCGTTCAAGAGACCTATTTCTACCCAACAGGATCTCACCAAGGTAAGTTATGTTTTTGTACCGTTCTACTCTAGTAAAGTCCCATTGACAAATAATAATAAACGGAGGACGTTAGAATAACAACCGCCCCCCTCCCGAAGTTACAAAGGTTTCACTCTAAATCGCCGAACACTCAATAAATTTCCACCCACAAGACTCCAGGGCCAACATTTTTAGGTTTTTGTGGCTATATATCCGGCTAAACTCGATATTTTTCTCGATATTATATGAGTTTGTTGCGTACGTAGAATGTAAACAAAGTGCATCACATACGCTACAATGCCGCCCGTCCGAAACTGTTCAAAATCGGAAGAAACATGCATTTCTACCCGCCGAAATCGATCCCACATGCCCACAACAACATTCTCTACCCGTGAAAGCCGTACTTCCGACAATATTTTACACTGGACGGGCAAAACTCACTGTTGAAGTTGGAGCATCGCTATCGACTGTGGAAGACTCCATTGTTCGGCCGCGTCAATGGGAAACCTGACCGGGAGTGACCCAACGGCGGTCTCGTTTTCGTGCGAGGTCACGCGCGGTCACGCCAAGGATGCGCTCTCGCGAGAATAGAATCATGTATCTGGAATGAGGTCTAAAGCATACATACCTTCTTCCAGGACTTACAAAAAAGATGTTCCTACTTTCAGAAAAATTAAAACCAGTCTATCCAATACAGATTTTGTGATGATATTTGAAAATGCCAAATATTACCAAAATTCAAAGTCTAATTTCGATGGTTCTTATAACCTCTAAGAATACCATTTTAAGTCCAATGCCAGAGTTTTACATTTCGTCTAGTGAGACCAAAGAGAAGAAATGTAAGAAGTAAAAACATATATCAATATCTTTTTTCAGAACTATGGAGAGGGCGTTCGGAACTTTGGGAAGTTTGAGGCAAAAGTTTTTCAATTATTAACAGTCTCCGTGGGTCGTCCAGAACTCAACAAAAAAACTGGATGGTTTTAAATGGCTCATGGCACCAAAATATGACCTTATCTAATTGTACTTGACATAACTAGTATTATCTGTCCAACAGACACATTTATGATAAATATGCACGGTTCCCCTGTTACATTAAAAATTTTAATGCCCCGTCTTAAAAAAGTCAGCACAAGCCAGTCCTGACAGACAATTTGCATCTCTACCTTAATTTGTATTTCTTTATTTTTTCCTTAGTGGATGATGTCACCCAGTAATGTCAGCTCAGGAACAAGCACAGAAATGCAAAAATGAAACATAGAGATACAAATAGAGATGCCCAAAGAGGGCGATTGGGAAGCTTGCTAGATAGTCTCCAAAAATTGACCTTTGGAAGGCTGTACAAACTCAATTTCTCAGTCATCATGATTGTGACTTTATTACCTTCGCCAAGAAGGTTATGTTTTCAGAGGCGTTCGTGTATGTATGTGTGTGTGTGTGTGTGTGTGTGTGTGTGTGGACACGATAATTTGAAAAGGCTTAAATGGATAGTCTTGATACTTGGTAGGTGGGTAGGTCATGATGAGACCTGGAAATGATTATATTTTGGACCCCGGGACTTGTTATGGTACTGCCCCTGAACTTCCAGTTTTGATATCTCATGATCTAGACATGCTAGGGTGACGTAATTTCGTTAGTAGATTGCTATTGTGCTGGAGAAGAAGTGGGTCCCCTAGCAGCTTGCTCTGGAACTGCAGGCAGGGCTATCTGTTTGAAAACATTCCAAAAAGGATAACTCAAGAACCGGTTGACGGACCGTCGTGATTTTTGATATGTTGGTAGCTGTCATTATGCTTGATATAATGATGTGACAATTAGGCAAATTACATCCATATTTGCATAATTGTCACATCATCTATCAACATACCAAAAATCACGACGGTCGGTCAACCGGTTCTTGAGTTATCCTTTTTTGAATGTTTTCAAACAGATATGGATGTAATTTGCATAATATATGGAGAAATTCTATAAATCAGCTGCATTACATTATGGGACTATTGAAGCTTGTGACATTGGAACGAGAGAAACACAGGCAGATATTGATTATCATTTGGCGAAGGTATGAGGTCGAGGAATTCTAGTATGTATACTTTTGTATATTTTATGTATTTTACAGACTTTTTGGGTGTCATTTGGTCTATAATACGGCTGTTGACATTTTTCATACATATCCTATATACAAAATTTAAGCGGATTGGACCAACCCCCATTTTCCGGTCACTTCCTGGTTTTCTCATACGATTTCCTGAAAGTATTTCATTAAAGTATTCTAATCTCTGCAGTCCTTACTTGAATGCCGAACTAACATGCAGGGATCCACCAGTGCATGTTAAACCTAGACATAATGGTAAGTACTATATACATTACATTATGACGTTTTAACCCAGCTTGGACCTTTTAGATTATCGTGTTCAGGGCCGTTAAAATATCAACTGTAGCCTCAATACAAAATGAATTTTTTTTAATTATACGGTGCAAGCCTTTATTAAATGCCATTACTAAAACCAATACCTCTTGCCGGCGACATTTTAGTAGATCAATGTTGCAGTCAACTTGTTTTTGTCTCTGTTTATTCTAATGGCTAAGGTCAATGATTGTAGCGTGGTAATGCATTTGGAGGAGAGTAGAAACAAAAAGACACTCCTTGTCCCGGGCAGGGATCGAACACACGCCAAACCCGGGCGCCAGCTCATAACCCCGACGCTCTAACCGTTCGGCTAAAAACGTTTATACCCGTCGGACGGATCATTTGGTAGCGCCTATTGACCCCCACTGTTACACTACTCCCCCTTTTCTTTTCAAGATTCGTCCTCGAATCTTCTGAATTCGACATCCCAGAAGCGGCACTAAGCCAGTACTCCCAGGGCCGGTATGGGAACCAGTGTAAGGATTAAGAGAATAGAAACAGAAAGAAACTCCTGGCAGCGAGCGAGCGATCAAACCCACGCCAAACCCGGGCGCCAGCTCATAACCTCAACGCTCTAACCGTTCGGCTAAAGGGTGTAGACCCGTTAGACGGATCCAATTTGTAGCGTCTATATGTCCCCACCCCCCATTTTTATACATTTTGTATGTCGCAAGTTTTTTTGCCAAATGATCAAAGTACTTATATATCATGTTTGTTTTTATTCTAGTGACATCTTCATTACCAACCTGTGGACCTGGTATGCCACGAAGTCAATCAGAGGGATATTGGAGCAATGGAGCGTGGCACTCTTTGGTATGCAGAACAAAGCAATTTGGGGTAGATGAAATCCTGAAATGCTTATCTAACCATACAGTTTATTTTCTGGGCGACTCGACCATACGACAGTGGTCTGAACGTCTTGTACACTTGGGTATTGTGAAACAAGGACCAGGAAATCGTGGGAAGGGACCGTACACAAATTTCAACAGTCTTCATGGATTTAATGTGTCATTTCGTTTTCACACGGTTCCACAACAAGGCCACATCCCATTCACATTTATAAACCTTACAAAGAGAGGTATATCAGTGGAGATGGGAGAGATGGCCGGTGGTTCAAACGTTGTTATTGTACTAAGCGTGTGTGCACACTTTGCACCCGAACCTATCGATATCTATCGTTTACGCTTAACTGAAATAAAATCAGCTATCGATGAACTACAAAAAAGACATAATAGAACCAAGGTGATGATCAAAACATGTAACACACGATATCAAAATAACTACCGTGATCTTGTTATGCATTCCAATTGGTTGTTAGAGCAACTAAACCAGGAAATTCGAAGCATTCTGGGAAAATCTAACGTCGCCATTTTGGATGTTTGGGAAATCACAATGAGTATGTGGTACCCATATAACATACATCCAAGACCACCAGTAGTTGATAATGAAATCAGCCTATTAATGTCCCACATATGTCCCGATAAAAATTGATGGTATGGAACAATTTTTAATCTGACATATTAACCAGTACGAAAGTGTACTGTTGACGTTGCATTCGATGATAGGACTATTCAAGTTTGTGGAAAATGTAATTGTGACCCACGGAGAAAAACACTGGCATAGATTGATAATGTAAATAAATAAACTAATGAGGAAATGTTACTACTTGGAGGTTTACACTTAAGTTATTTGAAAGTTTAACTAGAAAAGCGGACATTTGCTTAAGAGCAAATACAGCACATTTCACCCATTCTTCTTTCCCAAAGTAGGGGGACTATTAGTAAATCTGAATATTCTCCATCACTCTAACCCTTCTACGCATGTCTGCCTCACAATAAACAGCCTGAGAATGGCCAAAAATTCCTTTGTAAAAATGAACTGTGAAAACGTTTTTGATAGTTTTTAAATTTTAATGTACTTATTTTCTGATCCCATCCTGAAATAAATACTTAAAACTTAAGTTACCAAATCTTCATTTACGTTTCCAGACCAACTAGACGTTAACCACATAACATATTCCCTTCTCATTTTCACAGAAATGTATTTCTGTCTTCCATTGGGTCGAAAGAGAAGCCAAACCTTGGAAGTTGGATATTAGAGATATAGATTAGAATAGACGTACTGACAATATCTTACTCCATCTAATTTTGGTTTAAACATTAGAATTTTCTGGGTTCCATAATAAATTACACTACCTTTCTATGTACTTACTTACTTATGTAATTAAAGATAAGTTTTATCATTTAATATTAATAATATATGCTAATTTGATTACGTTATTGGTAAAAACTTAAAGTGTTTAATAAAAATATGGAACAAACAGTATCTGCTATATGTTTTGGTAAAATGCGATGACAAGGCATGGTATTTTTCAAAATGTAAATTTATTCAGTGCCAAACTGAAAAAACAATACAGGGATTCAGATGCAAGATAATCGCTATATGGGTAGCCAATATCTGCCAGATGGTGTGTCATGTGACAGGGTATTATCCAATGACAGACAAGTGTTTTTTTTTTAAATCTACTTGATATGCAAGTCGCAAGGTAGGGTTGGCATTTTACAGAGCGCCTGTTCGAAGACAAGTATATGATGGAATTATTGAACCAATTCAATCAGGACTCACAGGTTATAGCCGAGATTCAGTTGGTTTTTGCCACCCGGAAGCCTGACGGAACGGACACAAACCTAGGGCACATGATCCTCGTTCAGTATGTGAATGCTGTTTAATGCTTCAAATAATGTGACAAATTGTACCTAATTCGGATTTGAGTGGAACACGGCACGGCACGGAATGAGAAAACATCACGACCGCATATTTGTATCGGCTACCAAGACCGCAAGTCATATCGGTATCTGTACTCGCGAAACTAAGCAGATTACTTCTCCAAAGGGACAAGAATGTTCTTTCAAAGTAAACTCTACCTTTGCCTATCTGATGGCGTTGGATTCGGAATTCTAGACTTGGAAACAGCGCAGAATCTTGAAAGAACTTTGCATTCACGGACACAGTGACTTATCGCTCGAGCTCGGCCGGCTGCATCATCGAGAACAAAGACTAATCACACGATTCGGTCACTAGCCTGGTTTCCAGTCTATCATGGTATGGAGTGGCGTTCTTCGGAGATCCAGGAACTCTTCCCCGCCCAAATAAACCAGGCTCCTCGGTACGTATTGCATCGATATCGTGCCGTAAAACTCTATTCCTTCTACGAACTATAAGGTAAACATATAAAGTAACAGCCCTGCACCTGCCAATAGGAGATAAAGAAATACACAAAGTTCTTTAACAATCTTGAACTATATTTTATTACATATATATGTTTGAATATACTACGATATGAAATAATGAAAAAAAAGATAGCATTACTTTATTAGTCATATCAACTATCGAAGAAGAAAGAAAGCTAGCCACAGTACACCAAACATGTAGGCTAAAAATATCAAGAAGAAATAATGTACAGAGAACAAACGTGCGTCGACGTCTTACTCACCTTAGTCCTATCGTGTTTCAAATTCTAAAAAACGCCTTTCCACCATTGAGCATGTATCGATCCATAATTTAGCCAATTACAATAAAAAAGAAAGTTTAAAACACCTGAAGCTGTCGTATTCATACTACACATTACCACGTTAGACAAAAAATACATCTTTTTATTAAGACGGGACCATTTGTGAAATGGAACTCACATACATTGTCGTTCTTTCTGTAGAAGCACTTAAAGCTATACGTCTTATACAATCAGTAATGAACATACTTCATTGACCGGCTGTAGTCTGTTGTTTTTCATATCTTGATACAGACGCGACAACGACTGATACCAGTGACGTAACCACTGGTGACGTCATTAACATGGAGGGGGTCGTCGGGTGCAACCGCCTCGTACAGCCACGGCGGAAGTGTCGTCATCTCCACCCTCTCGTCATTGGTCCGGAGCCACATCCGGGACTGCCCGTGGGTCAGCTGACAGGATGCGGTGTGACTGTCACATTCCAGGACGGCGTCCTCTCGGTAAGTCTGCAAGCAGCTGCTCGGGATGCTCAGAAAAGCGCCCCCTATCCCTTCAGACTCAGAGTGCTACATAGGAGAGATAGTAAAAACTTATTATTGCATCTACATTCGTTTATCCACTCTAGCCACAACACGAAGGACCCAACAACCCTGATGGAATGTTTACCCACTGACTAAGCCTTTTTTATGCAGACAAGTTTGGTACACCAGTGAGGATGAAGCTGATGTGTTATGCAAAGATGCAGTTAACGTCAAGTGGCTCAAATCTCCACTCCATTTCAAGATACAGATTTGTAACGTACTGTACTTCTTTTTTCCACGGTATTTTTTTCGTGGTTTTCGCCGATCACTTTTGTACCGCGAACTTATAATTAGCAAATGTCTCTTTTCTGCACTTGCCGCCATTGTCAACATATAGTTCTTTAAACACTTCAATTTTTCTCAAACCGCAAGAATTTGCTACCGTGAACACCAGGTAAATTACGTCTACAGTAATAGAAGCCTATCACGGTGCACCGTGGTAGTTACCATGGCAAAACTGTATCCGGTCCAGAGACTCTCCCAGCCGACAGGACAGGTGGGTATGACGTCAGACAGACTGTGGATGGCCTGTATGGGGGCCGGGGCCTGGCAGACGACACAGCGACTCACGGCGGTTGCCATGGAGACCTGCCTCTCGTCATGTGACAGCGACTCGACGGTGGGAAGATGGCGTCGTGATGACGTCAGCCAGTAGGTCCTGCCGTTGGCAGTGCCGTTGTTACAGACGCTGCCAACACCGCAAAGCATGAAGGGAGATGTGTTGAAGCGAGTCAAGCAGGAGCCTGTGGCACCTACAAAAGAAAAAGAAAGACTACCGTTATTTCTTTGATTAGATTTGATTTTCTTTGACTATCTAATATTCTTTGATTAGATTTAATTTTCTTTGACTATCTAATACTTTTATTTTAAGAGTAGTGCATGGAAATTCATGTTTTTCATCTCTCAGTTATTTCCATGTGACACAATTGTCACCTTTTGATCATTTAAGAGCTATTCTTAAAACACTGCCTCGGTGACTTCGTAGCTAGAAAGTCATTCTGAGTTGGTTGAAGTCATTATGAAACAGGGTTAAGATAATGTCTATTGCAAATATTTCAATTCTTATTACTTTCATACTTTTTCCTTATCCACCCCGTTCCATTCCGTGTGTTTTTGGAATCCAGGAAGATTAGTTGCTTTTTCAACATATGGACATCCTAGTATAATAAAGTACAATCATACAAAATCTCTGTGAACCCGGTCCATATTAAGTAATAATCTTTCACTTGAAATTTAACGTAAGCCTTCAACTACAAAAAATTGACACAATAAGTAACGTGACCAGTAAATGATATGTATGTTATGTTTACCCATATCCTGTCCAGAGCCATGGGTCGGGTCAATGCTGGCTCCACCCATGTTGACCAGACTGTAACCGTCGTATAGGAGATTCTGACCCACAGGGCATGTCGGGATAGCCTCGGTCTGACTGTGGACTACCAAGAGGACGACGGTTGTCGACACTCCTAGTCCGCAATTCAAAATTTGTTAGATTACAAATGTACATAAAGAGATACCCTCATGGGCAGCGTTTGTTTACACCGAAAAATGTAATTACATAGCTAAGCAACTTGTTTTGTACAGTAGTTACAGGCTTTGTAAGTCGGACTGTGTTAGGATTGCTGTCCTCACATGAAAAATCGTAACTCAATTTTACATCGCCATGTCACTTTCAACATCTGAAATGTAAGAAAGGTACACTGTGTATCATTAGGTAATGATTATACAAAAAAGCTTAACAATAGTCACAAACCTGGCATGCCGTGGAGAAAACCATACGGCAACGGTAGGAATATAAGAACGGGACCAGGCGGGCCGCTAGGACCTGAAACAGGAATGGTTTGAGTTAGAAATGATTATAAGGTGTATTTACGCAATTTTATTGGTATATTCATTCATTCATTTTCAAACTAGCATGTTACGTAACATCTTGCAAACGTGACCGACCTTGTATTCCCTGTGGTCCCAAGTCACCTTTAGGTCCTGGAGGCCCTGTAAAAACAAAATACAATTTTAGTTGTATTAAATGCGTCACCCGACTCTGTTATGCTTAACCACTACAATCACTTAGCAGGTCCAGTGTTCAGTCGACAGCGTTACAATATCGAAAAAGTGCACAACAAAATATATCTAAATCTTCACTCAGATTGCTTAAAAATCTTTAAAACAGACGCATACTAGACCTTATAATCGGGATCAAAAAACGGGAGTCGTGATGGGGGTTGTGGCTTACCGACAGGTCCAATCATCCCGGTTTCCCCTTTGTTACCCTTGCTCCCTGCTGGTCCAATAGGTCCCTTGAATCCTCGAAATCCCTTTGGACCAACAAGGCCCACCATTCCTACAAAACGCAAAATATTCCCACTGGCCAAATAAATGCTGACCCAAAAGAGGTTATTATGAAATAAAGACAAAGTTTTAACTTACAACACTTAGGCTACATTTGAATTTGAGGATAAGTCCCATTTCTGTAGTCTAAGTTTTGAAAGTTAAAGCTTAGTCTTTATTTCATAATAACTTCTACCAACACAGATGAACTGTCATGCTAAGTCAAAAGAGGTTAATTGTTTGTGCTGCTTATAAATATACTTCCTAAGTCTTGCTTGATACACATGGTACGACAATAAGCTGTGACACACGAAAATTACGTTACATTAGAAGATAAATTTCTGTAACAGACAAAAAGAGAAAGAAAAATGAATGGCATTTAAAACTAGTATCACTCCTCATCCTACAATGCAAACTTGTTTACAATATTAGCATGATCAATTCTCAGGTCAATTCACCAGAATTTACGACCGAATCGCTCGGTCTCCTTGGCATTTAGACATATGATTGTTCTCAATATCTACATTTCTTCTTCCATTGTTTTGCTATATAACCTATAATCTTACCTTTTTCACCCTTAAGGCCGGTACTTCCCGCATCGCCCTTGTCTCCCTTTAGACCAATGTCACCCTTTAAACCTGCAGTAGAAAATAAGAAAAATCTCCTGTTTCAAACTCCGATCTTCTTCCTATCTTTATAATCTGCAATGTTCAAGCTGAATCCATCAATTTGTTCCAATTAGATTCTAGGTTTAGGGTGTTTTAACCTGACTGGAAATCCTATCAAAAGCCTTCACCGCCTCTCTGAACGTCATGATGACAGGTCACTTGTAACGCACCAGTAACAATTCTAAGAATAAACTTCTGATATTTCAAAAGGCAAACATTGTTTTAAGACGTTTTGTTTTATAACATGTTATGGCTGCTTGCGTGCTTTGGTGTCCGCCATGTTGAATCCTTGATTACATTATAGTCTCTAAACTATACTTTATGTAAATGAATCAAAGTATAAAAGTGTGTACCCTGTTTCCCCGTCCGTCCTCTCTCTCCCTTGGCTCCAGGCTGTCCGTTCTGTCCGGGTTGTCCGTTATCACCAACATCTCCCTTTGGTCCTACTGGTCCTATTGGTCCTCTGTCACCTTTCGGGCCTACATTATATTTGTAATGTCAAGAATGGATTATCATACACACACACATCAGACACACAGACACACAGAGGTACACACGTACTCCTGTAAACACACACACACGTGCGCCCGCACACACACACACACACAAACACACACACACACATACATACATACAGACACACAAACATACACGTACACACATACACACATACATGCGCAGAGGGAGAGAGAGACACACACACAGACACACTCACACACAATCAATTAGCTTGACCGAAAACAATACTTCCGTGCTAATTGTAATGAAAATAAAGTATGATTTTTTTCGTCATATTTTAGTACTATACAAAATGTTATTGAGAGAATCTAAAATCTTACCTGAAGCACTAAAATTACCGTTTAAAGAAAAAAAGATTAGTATAATAAAGAAGGATTTATGGGACAATACATGTTAATTAACATAGCAAAATACGTCTCTGCAGATATTTCCGCTATTTTAATACTCTTACTGATAATGGTACAAGTGATTAAGTTCCGTTTGAACCAAACTATCTGAAAGGAACTGAGGAAAACCTTATTCTCTTGACTTCAATCACCTACCGGCAGGTCCAGTCATCCCTTGACCGCCACGACTGCCCTTCTCTCCTCTAAGTCCGGCCTCTCCTTGGACGCCTTTTTGGCCTTCTGGTCCAACCGGCCCCCGGTCACCTAATAAATTGTAGTTCAACATGAAGCAATAATTAGACTGATTTATGTCACAATGTACATGTATCACAGTATAGTCATTTATACATATAAGAATAGGATATTACAAATACATTGTCTTATAGCTTACGATGCTATTTTTTTACTTATTTTCGGCTGTAACAGACAATTGTGAAAGAGCTGAGATGCGCTCTGAGAATAAGGAATATGTAATTTGCCAGATCAATAATGGCTATAAGCTTGATATAAGCTCACCTGCTTCCCCCTTCGCACCAGGTTCACCAATATCACCCATTAGTCCCCTCGGTCCTATCAGAGGGAGAGTCAATAGTATGTTGTATCTTTGTCACTTATAGAAATGATCTGTTTAGATATATTACAAGTACGTTCCCGTACTTCCAATACTTGATTAATATTGAAAAATTCCTCTTTCTTATGCGCTTTGATCATCCTGTATTAAACAAACCCATTTCAAATTATATTTTTGACATCGCTAAGAAACGAGAAGAAGCTGAACCTCTGTATTAGTGTAGTTTCAGAGCTATTTGTACTGCAAACATATTACCCTTTCATCTGTTCACCTGTACTTAGCCCGATACGATAGGGCATGAATGTACAATAAAGTTTATTATTATAAAACTACGCTAAAATATCCGGCGTATAAGGAAACTTCATCGCCAGGAAAACAAACTACTTAGAACAAGGAGCTACCATTTTCTACTTGCCTGGTCCTTTCACCTCATCACACTTGCCTAATTTTCATTCGGTTCCATTCCACTGCATAGTGAATTGAGTCAAATCTATTTGAGTGATGTCCAGCATTGGCATGCATATCTTATTCTTGCATACATGTATTCATGAAATGAATCTGATAGTTTCGGTCCAATATTCAATAGAAGCTGGCTATTCCTTTTTTTTTGCATACCCATGAAACTTACCCATTTCTCCTTTCTGACCAGACTCGCCCTTTTCACCTTGAAAACCCTTTGGCCCTGAAACAAGACAACACATCAGAATCAGAATTCAGCCCTGTATGTCAAGGCTGCGAGATATGTTGTAAATATGTTGATACAAACAAATAAACCAATTATATATACGCCTGGCGACCTCCGTCTTGTATAGCCACATGGTGAACTACATCATTCACCCGGACGGAGGCCTGGCGAACCCCGTCTGTATCAGCCAAATCTTGGAGAGGAGATAGGCGCCGCCAAGATTATAAGCCTGAGGAGTCATCGTGACAAGTCCAGACATGCTGCTGGCTGTCATGATGCCCCTACGGCCGTGAAGGCTATGGGACTTACATACATACATATACACCAAGATCACCTTCCGGCAAAACTTGTGTGCTCCCGTGTAGAGTGTGGAGGGAAATAGTCATATGAGTTCCATAACACTTTTACTCAGACGAAAGAGAGCGAAAGACCAGGGGGAGTTCTGAACGAAACAACAAAGAAACTTACCACTCGGTCCCGCGGGTCCCACGTCTCCTTTTTCTCCTTTCTGACCCTTCGGTCCGGACGGCCCTGTCTCTCCTATGTCTCCCTTCGCACCAGGTCCACCTCGTGGCCCTGGTAATGGAAGAAAAGAAAGAAATATATCTTAAACGTCCTTAGATTAAAACATACCTAATTACTGGACATCATAAAACTAAAACTAAAAAATAAATTACGGATAACTTTGAGATGTTTTTCTTTATGTCTGTATTTCATTGAGTCGTGTTACTTTATTCAATAACAAATTTATAATATACAAAGGATTCTTTTCGCATGTTCTGACTAGATTTTATTATCACACTAGATAAATCTTCAAAGTTCAGTTCTATACCTTGTTCCCCCTTCGGTCCTGTCTCTCCTTTGGCTCCCGGTTGTCCGTTCTGTCCGGGTTGTCCGTTATCACCAACATCTCCCTTTGGTCCTACTGGTCCTATTGGTCCTCTGTCACCTTTCGGTCCTGTATTTTTTTGTATTATTTGATTTGTTTCAGTCAATCACTTGCCCATAGGTGTACGGTAAATTAACAAAACATAAATACATACAGAACACACAGAAAATCCTATATATATACAGACGTTTCCAGATGTTTGTGCAGTATGAGCAATAGCAATTATTTTTGTATTATTTGATTTGTTTCAGTCAATCACTTGCCCATAGTTGTACAGTAAATTAACAAAACAAATACATACAGAACACACAAAACATCCTATATAACAGACGTTTCCAGATGTTTGTGCAGTATGAGCAATAGCAATTTTTTGTATAATTTGATTTGTTTCAGTCAATCACTTGCCCATAGGTGTACAGTAAATTAACAAAACATAAATACATACAGAAAAATCCTATATATACAGACGTTTCCAGATGTTTGTGAAGTGAGGTGCGATAGAAGGAATCTGACCGAATATATGATATTTGTGACATAAATTCTGATGAATATTAAGACTAATCAAATGTCTTAAATGACATTCCCCCTTCTAGTGGCTTTCTATAGTATTTCATCGTTGCCCATTGCTTCGATATCAGATTCTCCTATTGTTGACATGCCATAGTTGTGCTTAAAAATATCACCTACCAACAGGTCCAGTCATCCCCTGCCCACCACGACTACCCTTATCTCCTTTATATCCGATTTCTCCTTTGTCTCCTTTCCCTCCTTGTGGACCAGGATGTCCTGTGGCACCTTTATCAACATTACACATCAGTTAAATATCTACTATATGAAAAGTGGGATCTAAGAAGATTACAGATGTCAATTAGTAATGTCGGTGTTGCTTGTGATGATAAACATAGATTCCTTGTGTGCTTCATTCGCCATAGTATTCCAACAATCAAGCCTTGTGGTTGCCAACAACAGCGTGTAAAGTAAGTCTGATAATGGTTGCCAAGTATCCATCACATTGTTACTTTGGTTAAGATCTATTGTCATTACTTTTCGTGCAGTTTAATCAACAAAGCCTGGTACATGTACAAATACTAGACAATGCTTTACAGACAATACTAGACAATGCTTTAAGTAATTTTAAAGAAATACAAAGTCAACAACGTATATGTATTATGCATATACATATATATATATATATATATATATATATATATATATATATATATATATATATAT